TTTGGTGTCCATTTTTTTTTTGGCTCTCATTAAAAACCAATAAATCTTTGCTATAACTTTGTTATTTATTTAATATCAAATTTTTTAAACCTTTTGCCATCGAAAAGGCGTTGGCCTTAAAAACCGTAAAAACACTATCCCCAATTTTTTTTTTTATTTAGTACTAAAAATCTAAAGGTGTTAAGAAATTATAAGGACTTTGTTAAAAATTGTAAAAGCGATCATAGCTGTAAAAAAAAAAATTTGTTAAGCAAGAATCTATTTAGCTATTTAGTTCCAAAGCGGCGTAAAATTGTAGATCCCTGTCCGGTGCAGTGAAATAACGCCCGCGGGCTTTATTCCCTTGCGAAAGGCCTTTTTACTTTGCGAAAGGGCAATTGCTAAACAAAGGTAATAAATCCCATGGGTGTTATTTTCTCTGGCTCTAATTTACTGAACCACATCACATATAATTTTGTATTAAAATCTGCAAGCAAAAATTTGCATAAAAACTGAATTATCAGCCGGGCTCCCATTTTCATTTACTTTTGCGTTTTGCGTTTTCGTAAAAATCGTACGTTTTTATTTTTAGGTGCTCTTGAATTCGCAACTTTTTGTTATCGATAAGTTCCATTCCTCACTTTGTTTCTGGTATAGCAAAACAGCTGTTTTAGCTATTTCAACAAGTTATAAATTAACAAAAATGCCTTTCATTTTTTCACTGGCGTGTTTTGAAGCAAAACGATTAAAGAAAAAGACAGAATTGAGGAGACTAAAGCATTTAAGGGCAAGGTCAGATATTTGTACTATGCCAGACGAAAGGTGAGTTGTATCCAAAGCCATAAACTGAGCTATTTATTACACAGTTATTCTTTAGTTTCTTAAAGTCATTCCGGGTGGACAAAGACACGTTTAAAATTATTCTACAAAAGCTCCAGCCACATTTAAAAACAACTCGGTTGCCACAATCAATTCAGTTCGCTGCTGTTCTTCGCTTCCTTGCCACTGGTTCCTTTCAGTTATGTGTTGCAAAGGACCACCATATTAACATAGGCAGAAGCACGTTTGGGAAGGTGTTGCACAAATATATTCCTTTAATGGAAAGTGTGCTATGTGCAGAAAATATCTCGTTGCAAATGACTGAACCGCAAATACAACAATCCAGGGAGAACTTCTATAGGAAATACCAGCTGCCTCGGATCGTTGCGTGTATCGACGGGACGCACATTCGATTACTAAAGCCAGTTCAAAATGAGTCAGTGTTTTTTAATAGAAAAGGTTTCTTCAGCTTGAATGCTATGCTCGTAAGGACTCAATCTATAAAACTTGTTTTTGATTTATACCTCTTTTTCTAATTTAGATATGTAACCATAATATGGAAATACTTGCAGTAGACGCCACACACCCTGGCTCATGTCACGACTCATTCATTTGGAAAAATAGTCAGGCGAAAAACTATTTATCGAGGTCAATAAATGATAATTTCATTTTGGCAGACTCCGGTTATGCACTGGAAAGATTCGTGCTGACTCCATATAGGAATGCAGAATTAGGAACATTTGAGCACAAATTTAACATGAAACATGCAGCCGCGAGAAATATTGTCGAGCGCACTATTGGCGTTCTCAAAAGTAGATTTCGCTGCCTACAACATGGTTTAAATTACGAACCTAAATTTGCTTGCAAAATCGTTAATGTGTGCTGTGCACTACACAATATTTGTCGCCAACGTAACACCCCATCTGAAGAATATGTAGAGCACAATGAATCTCTTGAAAACGATAATGCAGAAAATGAATACGAAGATCATCAAGATGGAGTATCATTAAGGGATGAAATTGGAGTATCATTAAGGGATGAAATAGCTCGTATAATTCGTTAACTGCAGTTCAGTAGTGTACAAACAATTACGTATAAAACTGATCATCCAATCTTCTTGCAACGCTAAAAATTTTTTAAACTAAACTTTTTATAAAACCTTGGTTTATACAATAACAAATTAATTCAGTTTTGTAGCTCGCATTCAAATTTCAAACAAATATATCATGTATTTAAGCAAACTGAAAATGTCATATTTCATTTATTTATGTTTTCAATTAACATGTGTGTAGTATAATAGGCGGCATACACCATACGTCTGACTAGCGAGTTATAAGCGCACCACATATTGACAAGTTTTTACAATTATTTTGTTTTGTTTAATTTTAGTTATTTTTTATAAAAATCTAGTTTATTAATTAACAAAAACCGTATAAATCCAAGTTTGAAACAACGTGCGATGTGCGAAAGTTTGTTGAATTTTTTTTCAACTATTGCACATTGATGCAAACTTGGATTTATACGGTTTTTGTTAATTAATAAACTAGATTTTTATAAAAAATAACTAAAATTAAACAAAACAAAATAATTGTAAAAACTTGTCAATATGTGGTGCGCTTATAATTTTGACACTTGGTGTATATTTATTGCTATTTGTAAAATTCTCTTATATGAGTAAGGCACTTACAAATTTATATTTTAACATACATATGTGTTTTTAAATACTTTTCGGTTTTAAACCAGAACAAATAAATAAATAATATGTAAAATTCATAACATATATAAATAAGGTTCAATGTTATTATTTCGCTAAGTTGTAATGAAAAAACATAACTTAAATGATATAAATCAAAGTTTAAAACGTTGTGCTCTGTATTTTAATTAAATGCTTACTGCTTCAATAAAAACTTTGTACATACAGTGGCGCTTACGTAAATAGCACACTTATTTTTTTACAATATTCACAATGTTTTTTTCCTTAATAATATATATAAATATAGTAGATTCTATACCATAAACCATATAAATCAAAGTCTAAAACTTTGTGCACATTTCACGAAAATTTAACAAATTTCAAAAAAATGCCATCACAATTTTAAAGTTTTTATTAAGAATCTTTAGAAATTTATTGGGTAGTTATTTTGTAGCCCATTAAATTTTAATATGATGTTAAGCAGGTTTGAAAATTCCATAAAAAAATAGATGTTGTTCATGCGTTAAATGGAAGAAAATGTGCAACACCCAATCAATTTCTAAAGGTTCTTAATAAAAACTTTAAAATTGTGATGGCATTTTTTTGAAATTTGTTAAATTTTCGTGAAATGTGCACAAAGTTTTAGACTTTGATTTATATGGTTTATGGTATAGAATCTACAATATTTATATATATTATTAAGGAAAAACTGAATTTTATTTTAAAACGAATCACATTATTTTTATATACAAATTCTTTCGCCTTATAAAAAATTATGCATATCCACGGTTGCGTCAGCCATAGTAGGTAGTTCAGCGTCCAATTCTCTTCTGCAGTATACGCATAACATAGAACGGTATTTTTGGTCAATCACTGATAAGCAAATTACTAAAAATTAAATGTAAATTGCTATGGTTTTTAGCCTCCAATACGATGGAAATATTTGCGCTCAGCTTAGACGCTGCGGGATGGCGCGAACGCGGTTATTTATTTGTTTATATACTCACACAATTTAAATGTTCTATATGTATGTACGATGAGGAGTTGGTTATTTGTGTGCCCACGCACAGTGCGGCCGAAATCCAAAAGTGCGGCGAAAATTCGAAACTTTGAAATAATCCGCTGTCAGAATTGCAAAATTCAAAATGGCGGGACCGAAAAAAAATCATATTATATCCTCTAAAACGTTATATTCAAAGTTGATATGTAAAAAAAATCGATTTGATTGAGAAAATCTACGTACTTATTTACTTTTAATTAGGTTGAAATTTTTTATGATTAGGGTTTTCACAGTTTACTTTTAAAGTGAAAGGGTGGTAACTTTAACAAGATAACACACTCGAACTGTGAGCAACCTTTCACACATGTGTTTCAAATTGTCAATAAAACAAATATCGTCAGATATATATTTAAAAATCTTTCAACTTGCGCCCACGTTATGTTTTTATGCTTCACTTTCCATTTTTTCTTAGCGCGAATAATTAACTGATCAGAGATGCCAGTTTAACACAAAACAAAAACATGAGACAAAGTCGAGTAATTTTGCCCAAAATGTTATCTCCAATTAGTATGGCAACCAACAACAAACAAAGTTGCCACATGGTAAAATGTTTTAAAGTTACAAAATTAACACAGTAGATAATATAGAACTGTGAGCACCCTAGATATTTCCGAAGGTATGATGAAGTCTTTAAAGTTTCATCTTTCAAATTCGACCTTATTTTATTGCACAATCAGGAACTTTTGAATTTGGTGATTATGCATAGTTTCGTAGGTATATGATCAAAATCGCTATATCTGTTGGGCATTTTTCAAAAGCAAATATATCATAACAAGAGTTACTGCAATGTTTTATCCGATCTGAAACAATACCCGCTCGCTGTGATCCCAAAACTAGCTAAAATATCAGTGATTATGGATTATTCAAATTTAACCAAGTTTTCCTGTTTTCCGCGTAATTTTTTTTACCGTTTGATATTTGAAAATGGCGTCAAAGCAATATATTCTATATAACATACTCTTGAAAATTACACCAGAGCTGAATGTATGCATCTAATAAAACCATCACGTTTACGTTGCCTTGCCCCGACTATCCCATTTCTTGGATGGCGGTGATGTTAGCTTTTGTATTCCCGAGGACATCAACCAACCCGTCAGTGACACCTTGCCCATTAAGGGTGCAGATATTTCAGGTGCACACCCCCAAATCATAGTCCTTTATACGTTTGCCGTGGTCGATATCAGAACAAGGGTGTCTTATCCGAGGCTGGTTGTGATTTTTCATAGGGCCCCCAAATGGGTCTTTGGTCGCTACCCAGAGGATACTTAGATATAAATATGTGGGCGTCGTGAGCTACGACTTCAGTGCAACGCTAATGCACACACTATACCATTAAGTCAATGTATCAATATCCGTATTATTAAGTGCACTCTGTATTCACTAGTTTTTGCTGCTTGCTTCTACTTTTTTCTTTCTGATCTTTTGTTTTTATACCATTTATTGTTGCAGAGATGAATGGAAATATTTGTACGACTTGAATATAAAATGCAATCGTGCCTCGCTGANGTATGCATCTAATAAAACCATCACGTTTACGTTGCCTTGCCCCGACTATCGCATTTCTTAGATGGCGGTGATGTTAGCTTTTGTATTACCGAGGACATCAACCAACCCGTCAGTGGCACCTTGCCCATTAAGGGTGCAGATATTTCAGGTGCACACCCCCAAATCATAGTCCTTTATACGTTTGCCGTGGTCGATATCAGAAGAAGGGTGTCTTATCCGAGGCTGGTTGTCATTTTTCATAGGGCCCCTAAAGGGGTTTTTGTTCGCTACCCAGAGGATACTTAGATATAAATATCTGGGCGTCGTGAGCTACGATTTGAACCTCGCTTTGATACGCCTGGATAATACTTCCTGGGTTTTCAGTATTGACAAAGATTTATTAAATGCCCGAATTGCGATTCCGAATCGTTTTTAATTTGAGTTTCAACTCTATGCAATAACTAACTTTCGACTTCAGTGCTACGCTAATGCACACACTGTAGCATTAAGTCAATGTATCAATATCCGTATTATTAAGTGCACTCTGTATTCACTAGTTTTTTTCTGCTTGCTTCTACTTTTTTCATTCTGATCTTTTGTTTTTTATACCATTTATTGTTGCAGAGATGAATGGAAATATTTGTACGACTTGAATATAAAATGCAATCGTGCCTCGCTGGATCGCCTGTCCAGTCGATTGCACAAGCACAGTGGCAAGCATCATCGTAGGCGTGCACGTCTAAGTCCACCGCAAACACATCGACGCACATGTAGTGAAAACAACAACCACAGCATTAGTAGCCTTACCCCGTATGATATTGAACGTAACTGGAAGCGCAAAGGCAATTCTTTTGGCGGCAGTAGTGGAGGCAACGGTATTTACAACATCGATGGTGGCAGCAGCATAATTGAAAGATTAAAATTCAAATACAGAAATCTCAACACACTACAACAGAAGTATGCAGCATCAGCATCAACATTTTACCCACCATTAGACGATGTATCAGCGGCGACAACTATGACGTCGATCACCACCATAAACGATAGCGCACCACCGCCACCACCCACACCATTGCAATCGCCACCCTGCATGGCTGCCGACAACAAATCCTATGGTTACNGTATTATTAAGTGCACTCTGTATTCACTAGTTTTTGCTGCTTGCTTCTACTTTTTTCTTTCTGATCTTTTGTTTTTATACCATTTATTGTTGCAGAGATGAATGGAAATATTTGTACGACTTGAATATAAAATGCAATCGTGCCTCGCTGAATCGCCTGTCCAGTCGATTGCACAAGCACAGTGGCAAGCATCATCGTAGGCGTGCACGTCTAAGTCCACCGCAAACACATCGACGCACATGTAGTGAAAACAACAACCACAGCATTAGTAGCCTTACCCCGTATGATATTGAACGTAACTGGAAGCGCAAAGGCAATTCTTTTGGCGGCAGTAGTGGAGGCAACGGTATTTACAACATCGATGGTGGCAGCAGCATAATTGAAAGATTAAAATTCAAATACAGAAATCTCAACACACTACAACAGAAGTATGCAGCATCAGCATCAACATTTTACCCACCATTAGACGATGTATCAGCGGCGACAACTATGACGTCGATCACCACCATAAACGATAGCGCACCACCGCCACCACCCACACCATTGCAATCGCCACCCTGCATGGCTGCCGACAACAAATCCTATGGTTACGATGAAATCTGCAGCATCACATGCGAGCGTCATTCAGCATTTGGCGTTGTTGATATGGATATTGATTGCAAAAATGCAATGTNATTATTAAGTGCACTCTGTATTCACTAGTTTTTGCTGCTTGCTTCTACTTTTTTCTTTCTGATCTTTTGTTTTTATACCATTTATTGTTGCAGAGATGAATGGAAATATTTGTACGACTTGAATATAAAATGCAATCGTGCCTCGCTGAATCGCCTGTCCAGTCGATTGCACAAGCACAGTGGCAAGCATCATCGTAGGCGTGCACGTCTAAGTCCACCGCAAACACATCGACGCACATGTAGTGAAAACAACAACCACAGCATTAGTAGCCTTACCCCGTATGATATTGAACGTAACTGGAAGCGCAAAGGCAATTCTTTTGGCGGCAGTAGTGGAGGCAATGGTATTTACAACATCGATGGTGACAGCAGCATAATCGAAAGATTAAAATTCAAATACAGAGATCTCAACACACTACAGCAGAAGCATGCAGCCTCAACATCAACATTTTACCCACCATTAGACGATGTATCAGCGGCGACAACTATGACGTCGATCACCACCATAAACGATAGCGTACCACCGCCACCACCCACACCATTGCAATCGCCACCCTGCATGGCTGCCGACAACAAATCCTATGGTTACGATGAAATCTGCAGCATCACATGCGAGCGTCATTCAGCATTTGGCGTTGATATGGATGTTGATTGCAAAAATGCAATGCCACAAAGTGAGATCGACGGCATTGAGCAGCGGCAAAAGCGACGCCACTGCATCTATCTCAAAAACTTTGAGTATCAGCCAACAACTTCGATAACTACGGCCGTTACGCCAACGGCTGTTGACGGTGCAATTGATAATAAAATCTATTTCAAATTGTTGCCCGAAATGGTGAGCGAAGCAGCTTTGCGGCAACGACAATGGCAGCGACGCCATGCACGTGCTGCTGCACGCAATCGAAAATTGGCATTAGAGGAGACGCAGCTTCAAACTAGTACAACAACAACAACAACAACAACAGCGACTGTAATGAGCACTACAAATGCAGCCAATGATAACAACGATACGTTAAGAGCAAGCGTGCGACGAGAACCATTAAGTGCCGCTGACCTGTTGGACATAGCGCGGCAGGTTGCCGCCGGCATGGTGAGTGATTTATTAAGGCTCTGTTATGCATACATACTTTGCACTGTTATACCATTTTTATGTAAAAATCAAAACCCAACGGAATTCTACATGTGAAGTGCTATGCGTTGGGTAATCGCTTACACGCGAAGCTCATTTAACAGATTCTCTATGTGACAACTCTCATGCAACGCTAAGTATGCATAACTGAGCTATTAGTCGAGAACACGTTGAGATGGCGAGATAGGTTGATTAAATTGTTGGTTGCAGTACTTCCTAGTAGAGATGCCGTTTTTAAATCGCTTAAATAGAAGATTGTGCCTTTCTGAGTCGATTTTTACTCGATTTTTTATTTCCGATTCGATCCGCGAATCGATCGAAAAAAATACGAGAATCGACATTCGACTTTTGCTTAATTGATTCACATCGCATTGCATTAGAAAATCTAGAAAGTTTTAAGGAAATATGAATTTAAGGCTGAAGCAAGAAACCTTTCCGATTAATTTATGATGGCAAGTTGTCTTACTTTCAATCTATAGCCACCAAATTAGAAAGTTTGTAATAGATGAGTATTTCATATACACTGGCGGCAGAAATAATAGACTCGTCGTACTTTTAAGAATGTTGGCTATATTTCTTAAGCTTATTTTATGTTTAATATTTTTTTTATTTTCACCAAATTTTCAAACTTTTTATTCAGAACTTTTAGAAAAATGTTTGGTATGCAGTTTTGTAGACCATTCAATTTTAATATGTTAAGTAAAGTGCAAGTTTCAATTGGCTACAAAATACCGTTGATTTTGAAGAATTTTTTTTGCTGACAACGTCACGAAATTTTTCAAATACAACGTATGCTCGACAATTTTTTCATATATGGAACAGAATGCCTAGCATCGCCAACAAAAAAAAATTGTCAAAACTCAACGGTATTTTCTAGCCACTTGAAACTTGCACTTTATTACACTAAAATTGAATAGGCTTCAAAACCTCATACGAAAATGTTGTCTAAAAGTTCTGAATAAAAAGTTTCAAAATTTGGTGAAAATTTGTCGAATTTTAATAATTTTTTATAAAGTTTGAAAAGGGGATTCATATAGCGTTTGATATATAACTAGCCAGGCTTTTATAATAAAATATATTAAACATAAAATAAACCATGGAAATATAGCCAAAACTCTTCAAAGTAAGATGAGTCTATTATTTCTGCCGCCAGTGTATATGCACTTTTTTTGGTATAGATCAATCCTAGGGGCTGGCGGCATTATAAATGCGACCTTATTTTTTTATATACATTTTTGGACCACTTTAGTGTACATATATGTACATACATACATATGTGCATATACACTGGCGGCAGAAATAATAGACTCATCTTACTTTGAAGAGTTTTGGCTATATTTCTATGGTTTATTTTATGTTTAATATTTTTTATTATAAAAGCCTGGCTAGTTATGTATCAAACACTATATGAATCCCCTTCTCAAACTTTATAAAAAATTTTTCACCAAATTTTTAAACTTTTTATTCGGAACTTTTAGACAAAATTTTCGTATATATTTATTTTCGGTTCAAAACAATCCTAGGGGGTGGTGGCATTAAAATTCCGACTTTATTATTTTGGACCACTCTAATGTACACTCTTCGCCACTTGAAACTTCTATCCTCAGTATTGACAGTTTTCTTCTTTTTTATTTAATATTCATTAATTTTTGGCAATCTGATTTCTAAACTATAAACAAATAAAATAATCAACAAAAGCTGTAAGGGGTTAATAAAATTTACAGAAAAATATCGGACACATACTGCACACGCAAAACTTTTCCAAAAATTCTTTAAAAGAAGCGTAAAATTTTGGTGAAAATTCGCTGAATTTTTATAATTTTTGCACAAAGTTTGAAATGTAGATTTGTAAGGTGTTTCTTATAGAATGAACTATATTTTCATAAGAAAATAATTGAAGTTAAATAATGTGAAAATAAATAGTCAAAACTTGTTAATATGTGTCGGTCTTAAAATTATGCAACTTAGTGTAGCTACATAAGCTTTATTGGGCTAGTGTAATAAAATATATTTTTAAAAATAGCGGTTGATTTTGAAATAAAGCACAATTTTTTTTCTTTTGTGACAAAAAAATAAAAAATTTCGAAAAAACGTAAACCATTTTCTTAAGTAGGGCTAATTACTTATGAAGTTTCTGTTGAATGCTCATATCGTTGCCTTAGGCTTTTTGCATATTCTACAAGTGTTCAGACCTCCATTGAAATGCATGTGTTCGGCTAAAAATTTCAGGGTGAGACGATAACGCAATAATGATTGGACGACAAGTGTGCAAATCGCCTTAATATAGAAAAACCTTGGGCCTTATTCTCTATCGCGAACGATAGGCAAAACGAACGATTCGTCTGCAGACGACAACCTCTCTGATTGTGATTTTAAACTCTATCGGTCGTCTTCATCTTGCTTTTCATACATTACGTTGCAATGGTCTCGGTTGTGTTTAAACCGACTAAAATGATGCCCCCGGACTAATTTTTGAAGCATTCCTCTGCAGACGAATCGTTCGTGTTGCCTATCGTTCGTGATACAGAATCCGCCTGCTTATCTCACCTTTTTTAAGTATTTTCGTATTTGATTTGGAACGAATTTCCGTCATCCCTTGTCAAATAAGGTTTGGAGACAAACCGGTTTCGGCAATGTGCCATCTTCAGTGTCATTTTCGTTCTGCAAAAAGCGATTTGTCTACAAACCTAATTTGACAAGGGATGACGGAAACTCTTTAAAAAATACATCGTATACAAACCCTGTCGGAAGCAACAACAACCAAAAAGGAAATATTTACGGATTGTTAGCTTTTGGATAAATCCAGATATTGACGCCATAATGAGCAATGCATATTTAAAAAATTACTTACAATAGCCCTGATCTTTTTAGTGAAGTTTATCGAAATATATCGAAATTCGTCGATGGAAATCCTAAAGAGAGATTTTGAAACTTATACTGTGGAATATTTAATTTGAGTCGTACTTGGTATGCTAACGGTGTATTATTATCGCATTTTCTGTTGTTTCGTAAATATTTTGGTCTTGTTTTCAGGTTATTTTTTCTTTAAGGAGATTCTGCTTTTAATTATTTAATTGACCGAATTTAGTGATTCAGTTTTGTTTAAAAAAATACCGTTTATAAAAATTTCATAAAATCTATATATTAATAAGCTAACAAGAATTGTGTCCAACTTCGTTTAGGCGGTCGGGAATTTTTATAAATCCAAAATTGGTTGGTTTTTTTAACTTTTTTTTTTTGCTTCGATGAGATAAGCGAAGAACAAGACGAATACGAATAAAACAACTAACACCAACATTAAAACGAACACTTTAAATTTTTAATTTTATAAATTTAATTATAAACATTTTTAAGGCTCTGGTAAATGTGTTACTATATCGCACGTTTAATAATACATATAGATATGTAATTAAAAATTTAAATTTTTTGAGATTTCACCATACAATTAATAAGCTTGATAAGGAGAATATGTTCAGCCTAACAGATGACTAAACTTCCCAAAAATGGCGAAGATATATGTCTTTCCATCTGCTTTTTGTATACGAGTGGTATTAATTTGGATATGGTAAGTAGATGAATTGTCATGTAAATAAATTTTGTAATGTAAATAATTTTTTGTGTAACACTTGAAAGCCGGTCGAATTTAAAACCAAGAGTACCTTTGAAAATTATGAAATCCATAGAGAGAAAAACACCATACATAAGCTTAACATTAACATAACTATTTAGTATATTGCTAAGCTGCTATATTTGATTATAAAATTTTTACACGAATAAAAATTGTACGAATGAATCGGCATGAATATCTCAAAATTGTTATTTTTTGTATTGTGATAGTCTTTTAGTTAATGAGCAATATGATTAAGCATTCATCCGAAAGCTGATATTGGTTTTAATCATGAATTCCGCATAAATCTCAACAAAAGCGCCAGCACATTGCACTTGCATACAAGTGTACTCGAGTATGAGAAGCAAATAATTATATGGCTCAAGTTCACAGCTTTAAAGATTTTTGAGCAATAAATCTTTATTGTTAAGAGACCCTTTCAAAAAAGGTATTCCTAGAAAAATGACGATGCATATCCATGTGAATGAGTTTACACCTGCATGAATGCAATATTTATCAACCTTCGTTAAATAAAGTGCGAAAACGCGAAATCCATTGACTTTTCTATGGACTGTTGGGATACTCATATTTTTTTTTAATATTTTTTCCATTGTTGTTTTCGCCTGTGTGAAAATGAATTTACAATGAAAACGCTGGAGCAGTTTTCCCCGTTTGTATTTATGACTCGAGCAGTTGCTGAAATTCTTCTTAGTCATTTGTGGCCACAGTTGTATGTATGTATGTCACTGTGGGTGTAAAGGTCGAAATTTGCGGCAGCCTCATGGTGTTGATGTATTTCAATCAATGCTTACAAGATGCGCTGTTGGAGTTAACCCACAAGGTGGTTACAGTATCGAAAACTTTAATTTGCGCGAATTAAATTCTGAATTGTTTTGAATAATAGGGGAAAAACGCTATACATACATAAGTAAAACAACTATCCTCTTAAACATTAATTTTATTACATCAAACGAGCAATTCTTGTATATAAATATATATCTTCATGGGGTTCTCGGACACGGCTCTAACGATTTTGATGGAATTTCGTATACAGTTAACGTTTTGCATTTTAAGGTTATCTAAATAGGTATTATCTCCGAGAAGACTCATATGTATAAGGTTGCCACCTAATCGAAATTAATTACAAATTAATTAAAACATCATAATATGGGTATCAAATGGAAGGTATTTTAAAAATCCCTAATTCAAAAATATTTTTAATACGGTTGCCACCTATTTCGAACCGCATATTTATTTAATTGTTTGTTTAGAGAATAGAGGTACAATATTACTATTCATGCGTAATAAGAGAAGGTTATTAAACAATGCTTTCCCTATATACTTATGGTGTTTTCTTTTCTACAAAAATGTTGCCCGTTCATTGCCCTCTCCTTAGTATTTGTGTGTAGAGGGCACTGAGAAGGCAACATGTGTTTCGGTAGAAAAGAAAACTCCATAGGATACATATTAGTGTAAGGTTGCCACTTATTTTCGGTTCTACACAATTGCAAAGGAAAGGTATTGTTGAGAACTTTTGTCCGAAAATATTTTCGATCAGGGTTGTCGCACTTTTATGTAATAAAAATTTTTATTTTGTACATATAAATAGGGTTGCCACCTAAAATTTAAAGTAAGTATTTATAGACACCAAAATCCAATTTTTTTTTGTAATTTTTTTCCAAAATATTTTTTAAAGCAATATAAGTGACTAGTATTTGAGACCCAAACCTAAAAAACATTAAAAAGTATATGCACTCCGAGAAAAGCTGGATCAACCTGGTACTAATTATTCACGGTGTAACAGGAAATTGCGTATTTTATCCACAAAGTACTTGTAACTTTGCATCAAATAGCTTTCATGCAGGAATTGCGAAAATTTTTTCACATAAAGTAGATGTATGTCAAATCCTGTTTATTAATGCACTAAATCAGGGATGAGCAAATTTTTTTCTCTTAAAGCCATCAATGAGCCAGCAAGTGCTACGCAAGAGCTATATCAGTTTTCAGGGTAAAAGAAGTATACAAAATACATTAAAAGCATCATATATATTAGTAATAAGAGTCGGAGTACAAGAAATTTGAATACGCTCTTATTCCTTTCATTCATGCTGGCTCTTGATGTTACACTTCATCTACCTCCTAAATGTGCCAAGCCGGCTCCAAAGTGCAAAAGGCTCCTGGGAGCCACTTTGCCCATCTCTGCACTAAATGTTTAAAATCTAACGCATAGCATGTTAATCGAAATCGATAGGCCATAAATGGGAATTTATGGTTTATTTCAGTTTACACTTCAATTCCAATGTTTGTGTGCTAACATTAATATATATATATCTTTTATGTACATATGTACATTAGGGTAATCGTTATTTAACAAGTTGATTTATTTTTTCAGACAGTTCTATAGATTTGTTAGGTTAGCGCTCACCTGTAGGCCGCATGGGCCCAATTGTGATGCCCAGTAGCGGGTTTGCCCACATGGGTTTTATATCTTAATCTTCTTCTTCTGCAGAAATCGTTATTTGGACCTTACAACATTATGAAATAACATTAGTTGGGTTGAGTTGAGTGGAGGAGAGTTTAACATAGCCCTTAGCATAACATAACATAAGATAATATGCTATAACATAACATAACACAACATAACATAACATAATGTAACATAATATAACATATCCACTCTTTTGTCTTATCTTCCTTATCACTATCACTTTATCTCTATAGTTTTCTTATCTTTATTTTTATGTTTGTGTTTATCTTTATATTATATTTATATTTATCTTTTCATTTTTATCTTTATCTTTAACTTTTCCTTTACCAATATCCTTATCTTTATCTGCATTCTTTTCTTCGTCTACATATTCACCACCACCCTTGTCATTATGTTAAGTATTTAAATTTGTCTTCCTCTTTGTCTTTGTCTTTATTTTATTTTATTTCATTTCATTTATTTCGTTAAATACATAAGCGCATTAAGATTTAAAAAAAACAAATACAGAAATAAGGAAGTATGGGTCTCTTCACTTTTATTTTAATTTTTATCTTTATCCCTTTCTTCTACTCCATAGTCATCTTTTCTTTCTTCCTTGCATGGATCTTAATCTACATAAATTTTATTCCTAAACTGCTGCTTAGCAATTTTTTTTAACTCAGTATCAATATCAAAGCATACATTAAGCAGGCATCTCCGCCCCAACTATGTACATAAATTACATGTATGCATTGGTTTCACTTTTGAATAGGTTTTTGCGCTTTATTTAAACAAATTTGTAATTTGCATAGCTCTCTGCACAACAACATCAAAATAGCTCTTTAATGATATTTAAATCTCTATACCTTATACCAAATTTCGACTAGACAATGAAATTACAAATAATTGGAGGCATTCAAAAAATATGATGTGGAAATTAATTTAATGACTATTCTTTTAATGACTACTTTTTAATTCCCAACTTTGGCATTACAATTTTTGCCATTTAATGCCAAGTGGAAATCCAGCATTAGAAGTATAGTTTAGCCGTAAAAGGGGCGTAAGAAAACATGTTTCTTCGCTTCGTGAACAATACAAGTTCAATTTCGAAGGGATTAGTCCCCATACTGTTCCTTTCTTTTCAACTTGCCCTAGGTCGTTGATGGCAGTTGTAGTACCTCACTCGCCTTCAAAATGAACTTCACTATGAACAGAATGACTAAGCTAGTCGCATACTCAAAAGCTTTGATGGATTCTTAGTAAATTAGTTGGGGTACAAAGCATCAATCCGTCCTTTACAAGGCCTGACGATCAGCATTTGTGCTGCTGAGTTAAACCAAAATTTCAAAAGCTTCTTTTCTATTCATGAAAAAAGGTTTCACATACAAATACTTTTTCACAATTTATAATTTTTTTATTTTTGTTATTTATGGCCTTGCAACAATTATATTCCACAATTTTATTGAGCTTGAGGCCGTTTTGAATGAAAATTTTTGTGGAAAAAAACACAATTTACATTTTTTCCTCATCAGACTGCTTTAACTGAGCTAAGTTCGCCACGTAAACTGTTGTTGCTTTTCCAATTTTTAATTTGTTGAGCCAACTACAATCAAGTGCAGCTATTCCACTGCTATATACAGCCGTGCTCCCATTTTCAGAATCGCAAATATTTTGCGTTTTACTTTTCAAATCGCAAAATTACGTGCTCCAATATTCTCAAATCGGAAAATTTTTGCGGTTTCAAATCGGTAACCGATGAGACGGTGGAATGAAAAGTAAATGGCAAAATTAACATAAATAACAAGCTAGCTTAGTTTAAATTTATTTTTGATTATGCCCATTATATTTTGCGATATTTTTGGCGTCCTAAAATTAACTTTTTATGTTGATTTTATTTGTTTAATTCACTATTTATTATACACATCTCCGTTTTGGGCAACGAAAATTTATCGAAGCAACGAAGATTTACGATTTGGTGCGGACGATACATGTGCGATAATTGTTGCATACCTTCAAGGGATGGCTTTTAAGAATGCTGGAAACGATGTGGAAAATGGAACTTATCGATAACTAAAAAATGCGAATTCAGGAGTACCCAAAAATAAAAACGTACGATTTTTACAAAAACGCAAATCGCAAAAGTAAGTGGAAATGGGAGCACGGCTGATAAACTTGTTCATGTGGTTGTTGTTTTTAATGCTTTTTGCTAATAATTCCATTTTTAGAATGTTTAACTTTTAGGAGTGCTCATCTTTAAGTTATGTATTTATTTTTGTTATTTATGGTAAATTGTGATTTTTTCACAAAAATTTTCATTAAAACGTCCTCAAGCTCAATAAAATTGTTGAGCTTATTATTTTTGTGCAAAAAGTGAACAATATTTGACATTTTAAATACCAAATAAATCAAATTAGCTCTACTGCTACTACCCGTTCAATAGGCTTTGGTTAACACAAACTGTTTGTGATACGTTGCGTATGAGTAACATTCAAATTGCTTCTTCCTATTGTTGTCGAACGACATGACGTATGAGCAACATTGTATTAACCATGTGGAGAAAATCGCTAATTCTGAACTGCGAATATATATGTATATATATATATATATTTTTTCTTTTTTTTAAGTCGGTTTTTTTTCTAAAAATTACGTGTTCTTTAAAACAAAATACTATCAATTTTTGAAGTGTACTATATTGTTTCAGATTTTTTTGAAAAAGTATAATTTATAGTACTTAGAAATTGTTGGCAACCCTACTTCTGTTCTATAAGCGATATATATATATATATATATGTATGTATATGTATGTGTATTTATATTTACTAGTTAACAGCTTAATGTTGCATTAAACTGCATACACTCGAATCTACTAAAGTGATTTATAAATTTCCAAGAACAGCGTGGCTGTATTGACATTGTAAAGCAAATACTTAGTTATGCTTGCATTTAGTTTTTTGTTTTTGTATTTTTATGCTAGTAAACTTAACTTAACTGAAATTAGTGCTCGTCGCCATTTTCATAATTTTGCCATATTTACTTAGATATGTGTGTACGTATGTATTTGCTTTTTTTCATATTTCATTTCCAGGAATTCTTAGCCAAGAATAAAGTGGTTCATCGTGACTTGGCTGCGCGAAATGTGCTTGTCGCTCCGGATCGCACCATTAAAATAGCCGACTTCGGGTAAGTTGCTTACGGGAAAGCTTCTAAGCACTTAATTCATTGCAATTAAGGCAGCTAATACTTAAAAATATATGTACAATATACATATATATATATATACAATAGCCATAATGGTGTTGCTATTCATGTCTGTGTAGCTACTAAGTAGCTATAGCTATATATCAGTATGCTGATAGAAGATTGTATATATACATACATATTAAGGCTATTTATGTGGGCAATACCAATTATATCGAGATATAATTTATAAACCCAATTAAGTGTAAAAGCTGTGTTAAATGTTTTTGAGTTTTCATGTTGCAACTTTATTAAATGCACTACATTGCCGGAACAAAGTATTGACACAGAAAATTTTTCACAATATATGCAACAATTTTTATTCTAATATTTTTCCGCAAATTTTGTATAAACATATGGTTCAATCTGCAACAAAAAACGAATCTTTGCAAAACCTGCGAAAATTCAGCAAACTTTCAGGCAAATTTTGAACTTTTTAATCAGATTTTTTAGAATTTTTTTGAATATGCAGATTTGTAGCCCAATCAATTTTATTTTAATAAAGTACAAGTTTTAAGTAGCTCGGAATTATCATTGACTTTTGGCAATTTTTTTCACGCAGTCTCTTCCATACAACTTGTTTTTCGAAAATACTTTATATGGAAAAATGCAAAATACCTTAAACAAAAAAAATCTCAAAAAACAATGCAATTTTTGACTAACTGCGAACTTTAATTTTTTTTACTAGAATTAAATGGGCTGCAAAACTGCATGCTCAAAAAAATTTAAAAAATCTGATTAAAAAGTTGAAAATTTGCATGAAAATTTGTCAAATTTTCGCAAGTTTTGCACAAAGTTTAGAAATTATATTTTTATGTTTTTTTTTTTTGAAGAATGGACCATATTTTTATACAAAATTGGCGGAAAAATATTAAGATAAAAATTGTTGCATATATTGTGAAAAATTTGCGGTGCCAATACTTTGTTCCGGTGTAGTGTATACCAATTTTTGGTAATGCTCAAGTACTTATATTAGTATTTTAAAACTCACGAAGTCTTCTAGGAGCGCTAATTTTTTTATCCTTCATGGCAATAGGCCTTCCGTACTTTACACTGAGAAAGTGTTTATTTGGGAAATATTTCCAAAGATTGGGAACTAATACCGGGGATTGGATATTATAACTAAACATATGTACATATAAATGCTTGCAGTATTCATCTAGCTTGAACTCGTTAATTTAGTTGAAGAACTTTTGGGCTCGGTAAAAATTAATTAATATTATTTGATACAGAAACTTCCCAAGTAGGAAAAATTTAGAGAGCGAAAATTATAGTTGATGTTGAGGGAAAGTTGTACGTTTTTAATATGGATAAATTTTTACTCAGCTGCTTGCATATTGTCTGTTAAATTTTACACAGGCAAAGGAATATTATTTTGGAATTGCTAAGTTAAAACTGCCAAAATTTAACGATTTAGTTAAAAAAAAGTATTTCACCTGCTCTCTACTTTTGTGTATAATTATATTCACTTGATTTTTCAATTTCTTTATTGCTTGACTTTCTTCTGGGAACTTTGATGGTTAATTCTTTACGTAAACCATTACCAATAACAACAACACAGGCTCAGTCGAGACATTTACCAGGAAAATGTATACAAGAAAACCGGAAATGGAAAATTGCCCATCAAGTGGCTAGCTTTGGAGTCAATGACTCATCAGGTTTACACAACGCAGAGTGACGTGTAAGTATGCCAGTGAAGTTATGTACATTTTCGCTGAAGTATAGGTATTTACATATGTACATTCATATCAATATATAATACTGATAAATTTATGTGTGTGCATTAGGGCGGAGCAATTTAATTTCGAAAAAAGTGTACGACATATTCGATTTCTTCTTTCGATTCTAAGCAAAAATGGTGAACAAACTGTACACCAAAAATGACGTTTGATCCTCCCAATTTTCCAAGAAAAACCCAGTGTATTATAATTTTTTCCGATCGAAACTAATTTTTCATTTACAAAATTTTGGATTTCCTTCATACAATATACTGCTTATTCTTTTGAAAATTGTGAGGGGAGAAGTCATTTTTGGTATATAGTCCTTACGCCATATTTTGCTTAGAATTAATCTTAGAATTTGAATTTGCTATACGCTTTCTTCTAAATTTTTTCTCCGAACAAATTACTTCGCCCTAATGTGCATACATAGTACAAATTTAGAAATCATTATTTCTGTCATTCTAATGCTTTTGCCAATTTTAATGGATTTTTTATTTTTGTTAAGTATTTTAACGAAAATATGTATTTCTGGGATATATTTAGGACGCTGGTTTCGGATATACCAACCGTTTTTTTTTTTGCTGATTGCATTTGTTTGCGAATTATTGCGAAATTTGCATCAAGTTTAATTGGTCACCAGAGAAAAAATGTCTTCATACTTATGTTTAATACTATTGTAAAAAGAGTGCATATTTTAAGAAACTTTCAAGTATTTTGGTTCATTTGTTTTAAAGCCAGTTTTTTTTTTTGTGAAGGTAACAGTTGTCACCATACAATTACTAGGTCCCCTTAAGCAAAGCCACGAAGCTGTCCCTTAGAGGCTGTCACTTAAAAATTCTTTTAAATTGATGTTTCTTATATTTGAACAGCGAAAACTGCGCGTAACTTGATGCAGCACACAAGTCTATTTTGATTTTCCGAGTTCGTTGAGTTAAGTTAAGTTGCTATATTATACTAAAATTGAATGGGCTACAAAACTGCATACTCAAAAAAATCTACCAAATATTTAAAAAATTTGTAAATTTGTAATGTACTCATTTTACTCAACTCTGGTGTAAAAAAAATTCATAACTCAAATTATTGTAGAGTGCACCCCGTAATACTACACTTAAATATTGCGCAATACTCAGAGCTACTATTCTGATTTTTTTTGAGATGGCATATTTTCAAAAATTAATTTTTTTATCAAAAAATTCGTGTGAAAAATTTTTCTAGAAAAAAAAATTTTTTAATATTTCATTTCATAGAGAATTCTGATGTGTATATGTGGGATTTTTTTCAAATTTTTTCCTTGGCCCGTTCTCGAGTTATTTGGATTAACAATTAAATCGATTTGTTTTTGTTTTTGTGCTGTCAAGTTTTTAAAACTCTATTAATCAAGCTCAAATTTCATATTTATTTATTATTTATGTTTATGCATCAACCCCAAAAATTTTAAACAAATCAAACACATGAAGTGTGAACCGCCTATCCGTTTTGGTATGGAACGCCCCATATATGTATATAACTGAATGCAGCCGCTGATTAATTGTCTAAATAAATCTCATACAACAAAAAGTGGCGTAAACTTTGAAAGTAAAAATGATGGGCGTGTGTTTGGTGCTAACGAAGCCAATAAATAATATTAGCACGAAATGTTGAATTACCTTTTCTGAAATTGACCAATTAAATAAAAACTTTTTGCTTCTATCATAATCCATGTTCAGCTCTTAGCATCAATTAAAATATGAGTAGGGAAATTCGTGTTAAATTTTAGATAATTACTTTTTCGCTCTTAATTTTAAGTATTTCAATTAAAGAGTTTTCCAGATGTTTCTTCATAGTATGTTTATGTACTTATGTACATATATATGTACCTACATACATAGTTCAGGCGCCTACACAAGAAATGCCAACTACATACATATGTATGTACGTTTGTCTGAAATTTTATTAAAAAATATTTTTTTTTGCTTTTGTGCTTTTGAAACTTGCATACCATTTCTATTAAAACTTTCTCTGTTATAAAAAGTTTTCACGTGAAATAAAATACTTTCGTAGTCATTTAAAGCTTTTTGCGGTTTTAATCAAGTTGGCTCAATAGCCAATAAAGTTATGTCATTTTAATATGCGTCAAAATTTGCGCCAGAAGTATGAATGAATCAAAAATAAAAGTTGGTATACTTTTAGGTTCTTGTTTTTGTCAGCTGCTTGAAAAACTTGCCTATTTAAACAGCGTTCAAACTAAGCGTGTAGTTTACTTTTTCTAAAAAAAACACACATGACATAAATTACATATATATACAGTATCGGTCATATAAATAGAACCCCCATTGCAAAACAAATTAAATGTGAGTCAAATGCATGTTGAAATTAGCTAGTGATTTTATTCATTTTCCGTGTCTACACCTAAAATTACCATCAGCATAATGTTCGCAATTCACAGCAGCGCACTTAATTTTTCAACTATCTAAATAAACTCAAAGGCAACTCCATGAATTGAGCCTTCTACGTCATCAAGATGAGGGACGTGGCTGATGTCGTAACCTTGTATTCTATGAGCCTTGAGTCGAAACACTGTGCGTCGTCGGACAAAAGTTAGAAAATGTCCCACTGGGAAGTCATTAAATCGCTCAACGAAATTCTCTTTTTATCCTTGGCTTTATTTTTGGCTTGGGAATACAATTATGTATTTTAATTACTCACACACTTAACTTTAAATTGCATCAGATGTCAGTTGTTAATAAATTTAAATTTCCATATACATACATACATACATAGATATAAATATATATATGTACGTGCGTACATATTTATTTATTTACACATAAGTGCATTGATAAATATAGAAGTGAATGTATATTTACCATTCTTTACCTTCTTTTATATTTTCATGACAACGAAATATGAACTTCATGTATTTTTTTGCCTTTTCAACGGAAACATTCAACAGTTGGTCATACGGTATTCTACTCTATGAAATTGTAACGCTCGGCGGCACTCCATACCCTTCGATACCGACAAATCGGCTGTTACATCTACTGAAGACCGGCTACCGCATGGAGAAGCCAAAGAATTGCGGGCCTGAGTTGTAAGTATGGTACTGGTACTGCATATAAAGGTTTCCCTTTTTTGGTAAGCCCTTTCTTTTTGTGTAAAGCCCTACAAGACGGCTACCCATTTCAGACCTTGTAATGCAATGGAAGGAAAATTTGCATTTATTAGTTTACCTCCTCTTGTAGTCTAAATAGAAAGCAAGCGGTGAATCTCAGAAAAATTCTTACCCAATCCAGATCCACCGCTTACTTTCTAGGCTACAGAATGCATGAGCATGTCATTGGAGTAATCTAATAAATGTAATGCATTGGGTAAGCAAATAGCCGTCTTGTAATGCGTCACTCCATTGATACAAAAAAAAAAACGCTTACCGTAAAGGCAAAGTTGTTGCTGGGTACCTAATTACGTATGTATGTACGTATGTGTAGTGAAAATTCACCAACTTTGACCTCCCATATATTTGAGTGACAGCTACATACATACATACATACTACTGCTGTTGGCAGAATGTTGTTTTCAGTGAAATTTTCACTCAACTCTGCTATTCAATTTAAGCATGTATTTAAATTTTTTCTGTTTTCCTTTTTATTTTCAAAAGCTATAACCTCATGTTTGCCTGCTGGAATGTGAATCCTGGCGAACGTCCTACATTTAGTGAAATTATTAAAATTCTTGACGACTTTTTGGCTGATGAGCCCGAACGACAAATCGAGAATGTATTGGGTGTGCCGACTTTAGAGTGGTAAGTACTTGATACATATGCACATTCTTATTGTACATACATACTTACGACATATGTACGCAATATTGTCTGCAATGGACGGATGGCACCGAACGAATCGGTTGTTGTTTTGATTTCTATTACAAAACATTTAACCAGAAGAATTTATGTTAATACTCGTACATATTTATTTGTATACATATGTTTATTAGAGGGCCTCATGTTTGGACACAAAAAAAAAAAACTAAGTGTAGTACTTGGAAATTGTGACGCCTATTATGTAAAAAGTATTTTTTTTTTGTTAATTTTAATCTTCAACTACATATAGTCCCATATTTCGACGATTGTTAATAACACTGTGCGACAGCCGAAATAAGACACCAATGCGATATGGAAATTATGTAAGAGGAAGAGCTCTAGAATATTGGACCACCGACCGATTTGCTGAAAATGAACTGATTTTTTAGCGCTGAAAAAGTCGAAAGTACTGAATTTTGAGCAAAAATCTGGCAACCTTACTCTTGAGTAAAGTAACTTGATATCCATATTGTTATTCTACATTGCACTGAATTTTTTAAATAATTTTTGGAATTAATCATATCTTTTAAACTCAAAATTATGTGTTTTAAAAAAATCCTGACATGAGAGAGAAAAGCTAAGGACGCAGTTTTACTGTAATTGGCCCATAGTTTAGCGATTATAAAGATTTTTTTGTGTATAAAATTTACTGTCGCACGGTGATATCCATATCGTCGTTTAAAGTACAAACCGCGTATCGTCGTTCTGCAAAACGTGTAACTGATATTTTTTTCCAAAAATTGGATTTGCTCACACGAATTCTTGCCTCAAGCCTTATCCATTCGTTCTGAAATATACGAGCCAGAAATGCGATTGCCTTATAAAAGAGAGAACCATTTTGAAATATGAGTGTTTTTATTCTCTACAAAATAATTTAGGCAACCTCACATACGCGGGTTTGCATTATGTTGATACGCGGTTTTGTACTTTAAGCGACGATGTGCATATCCTAAGGATGGTTATAGGCGTGGCACCTCCCATACAAACCGAATTTTTCATACTACATATATATCTCTGGAAATATTCATGGTAGAGTACTGGAGCTCGGTATGGGGATATATGAAATAAATCGCATACTATTGGCGGAAAGTTGGAGCTATTGGAAAAAGGGGGCGTGGCACCTCCCATACAAACTAAATATTTCATACTACGTACATATGTATCTCTGGAAGTGTTCATGCTAAAGTACTGGAGCTTAGTCTACAAACGTACCGACTTTTAGCTATCTTTGAAAGTATTTATAATTCTTCTGGAGGTATGTTTGTAAGTGAAATCCTAAATGGCTGGAGAGATGTTAACGAAATTTTTTGTGTGTATTTGAGTGAGTCTCTGGATGGTTTAGTTTCAAAACTTAACCCGCGAGTTGGCATTGTAGTTGAGTTATTACTAAAAATCTTATTTACGGTAAGAGCAATACTATTGCAAAAAAGTGCTGCCAGGTGGTGCTGGAGTCGAGTTATTACTGTCAGATTAAATCGACCTGTTTGTTACACCATTGAGTATATCGAGCTCTCCTGCGTTACGATAGGCCCAATGGATGTGATTTTCCAATTTTATTATACGCTTAAGCTTTTAAGGTATTTTGTCTGTAATAAGTATATGTATATTGCATTTCTGTAGAACAATGATAAGCACTCATTTTGAAATTGCCACCAACTATACTATAAAGCTTCTAGTACAGATTCACTATGATCCGGGTTGCCGCCAGGGAGTGAAGAGGAAAAAGTTCTTTAAATTTATTTCATTTTGTGATTAACCGTGCTATGAAATGCTGCACAATTAGAGAATTTCAAGAACTTCGTCATGGACATAACACTTTATTTAGATTACTAAAGCGGCAAATGACCACCAAACCATAAACTTTGCAGATGAAAATCGTAGACGTGAATTGTTGGTGAAAATCTTGGACCAAAAAGTTTCAATAAACAAAAATTTATTTTGGGCGGGACGAAGTTCGCCGGGCCTGCTAGTGGTCAATACTTAATTTTAGTATAAGGTCATATTAAATAAGTTCAGTTTGAAAATCATTCAAAAGTTTAGAAGAAAATAAGTTTATTTGCACTTAAGTGAAATTTTCGGACTGTCATATACGCGGTATTGCATTTCAAAGTTTTCAAACATACATTCTCACACACATATGTATGTATGTCTATTTTTAATCAAACATATTTTTTTCTTTTATTCCCCATTAGCATTGAACAGTGTCAACACCAAAAGCGACCGCTTCAGGAGCAACACATTCAAATCCAACAACAAAGGCAACAATTCCAAGAACTACCACAAACGTCACTTGATGATGACGAAGTTATGATGGATGCATCAAATATGGATGACTCTTATTTGAAACCTTTGTAGTGGAAGTAAAATGACTTACAGAGAAAAAAAAACCGAAAAGGTGAAAGAGGAAAAAACAAAATGCAGGAGAAAGCACCTGAAATGCCAAACAAAAAACACAAACATTAAAATTTCCATCAAAGATAATGGTGGTCATAGGAAGAGCGCTAGGGTGGTCCAAAATAAGTAAAGTCGGAATTTCAATCGAAAAATATACCCCTATTTTTATATTTTGAAATAAAAAAATATTTAGAGGTCGCTCAAAGCGCACAAAGTTTTCCATGTATTTTATATGGAAAAAACTTTTCGTCGAAACGGTATAGAATTCTGGAAAATCAATATTATTCAATCAAAAAACTCTGGTTCTCTTCACGAGACTTCAAACAACATTATACAATTATTAATTTAACCATTTTTGAATACTAAAGATTTTTTATTTAATCTCCCATTTCATTTTCTGGCAGTTTTGGCGGACCTATAAAATATAGTTACTATGAAAAAATGTTTAAATAAATAATTGGGTATTATTATTGGGAATCCCATGAAGAGAAACAGAGTTTTCTGTTATTGATTTTTAAGAAAATTTGTTTTTTTTATATAAAATACATGAAAAACTTTGAGAGCTTTGAGCGACCTCTAAATATATATATTTTTTTTTTCAAAAGAAAAAATATGGGTATCTATATTTTATTTCGGTCCTCCTAGGTTTATCCTAGGTGGTGAGGGCATAAAAATTCCGACTTTACTTTTTCACATGCATTTTTGGACCACCATAAAGAGCATTCAGTGAATTGCAATCGAGCATCAACTGCTATTCATGCATAAAACATTCAAACAAAGCATACATAAATAAGGAATTGAAGTGCATATCAGTTAAGCGAAAACAATTGTAATAAAGCCACTGCAGCAATAAAAAGAAGTGAGAGTGATTTTAGTTTGAGGCTCTCAAAGGGATAAAAATTTCAATTGTATAACAAAAGAGATTTAAGAACGCTATGTGGTCGATGAATAGGCCAAATGAAAATTACTATTCAAAAAATATACAAAAACAAAATATTTTTTTTTAGAAAATATAGAGCGCTGAAAAGGCAGAAGACTGCAAAAAAAAGTTCTGTGTACACTTTAGATTGTCAATGTATGGAATATTATTTTCACTATTAAGGCCTGTCTTCAACTCTCAAGAAAAACTAAAAATGCATATCAAATGACGCAATTTTCTCTAACAAAATTTCTTAAATCTGTATGGAGCTCTTAAAAAAAAATGCCCGCATATTTTTTTCTTCAAGAAAATTTACAGCAACCGAGAACTGCATGCGGGCCTTTACCTAAAAACAAACCTGCACGCTTTTATACTGAATTGACAAAAAAAAAAAACAGATTTAAGTCTGTTTAGCATAGTAATAAAATCCATTTTGAAGCCAAACGTTTTCGTTATGCTGCTAAAATAAACAACAAATTACTTTAATTAATTTACCTCAATTTATATGAATTGTTAAAGAATCGAAGGAAAGTAATAAAATCTCTGGCATTTGGATATGTCATAATTTCTTTCTTGCCATCTTCAAACCACATAACCGAACTACATAGTAATTCTGTTGGGACTACATAGAAATATACAATAACAATGTTCCACTCCGTATCTTCTGGACGGCTAACCTGTTAAGGACTTTTATTTTTAAGAATGTCTATAAATCGAAATCTGATATGAAATAAAATCAAATAAGCAAAAAAGAAGTTCAGATATTCTGATAAACAAGAGAAATTTTAGAAATAGAAATATATAAAGACAAATCAGGACCGCACTGTCTTCGGCTATACCTTTCTACCTTTTATTAAGATCACACGCTTCTCCTAAGCGCTTCATCGGCACATTGTCGTCTTTCTCCTGAAGTTTTTGATTTTAGCCTCTATGTGGATTGCGGGCATTCTTTCACCGATGGTGGTGAACCTAGAGACAAGGTGTCGCGAAACCTCCGTCTAACCACAAATCCCTCACCTAGTTTGTGCGTTGATCTCTCATGCCGAATTTCCACTGAGATTAGATTAGGTAAGATTATGGTGGAAGCCACGAGAAGGGCTCACTGAATGAAAGACGCGTCGAGGGGTTAAAACCTTAGTATAGCCGGGCAACTGAGAATAAAGTGCTGAGATGATTTCCACTTCGTTCTCGAAGTAGCTGCATCTGGCAGTCCGAACATGACGTTTACTGAGATTTACTCCTCCAGCTCTTCCAACCAGCTTCGATCCATCCGTGAAGAGATAAGTTTATTGGTCCTCTACTCCAGAGACTGTCATTCTCCCATTCGCTATTTGGAGAGATGTGTGTGGTGAGGAGCATCCGTTCGGGTTCAGCTTCGAAATGCTCCAGTTCATTTCATCCGGTAAGAAGTTGAAGTTTTTAAGAATTACCGAGTGCTCGTATGCCGGGTTGAAGGAGAAAGCACAGTTTTTTTAGCCTGATGGCGGAGCGAACTGCGGCAACGTTACCCGCAATATCAAACGGCTGTGACACTAAGCATAGCGTTACGCGAGTGAATATGCGTAGTCCGGAGCGCTCCGATGATTCCAACAAGGGTCGACCGTTGCAACGCACTAATTTATTTACAAGAATATACTTTTCTTGTGAATTCCACCAGACAACCCATATTACATAATTGGATTAATTATGATTTCATATAGCGGATATATCACTTTAGGAGAGAGATCGCATATCTTCCCCATGGCGTTTACAGCAGTTAAGAGCCACTGATGCCCTTTTTACTGGCTCCTCAACATTTGGCTTCACGATAGTCAGAACGCCCCCTATCGAAGGACTATTTATATCTCCCGGTAAATAGTACGAGCTCCGCTTTTCCAGGTCCGCAGAAGGATTAAGACCCAATTCACGACAATGTTTAGGTACCCGTGCAAGAACTTTCCTCAGACGAGGAGTTCCACGTTGTCCGCGTAGGTAATAACCCAACACCCTCTCCTTGCCAATTCCTTCAGAACGTCGTTTACTACGACGATCCAGAGAAAGTGCGAAAGAACCCCTCGCTACGGGGTACACTTGCTCTCTTTACGCTGGATAGAGGCGTTTCATGGAGCATTCGAAAGATAAGATTATCTAAGATTTCACACATCTACCCTTCAAGTAGGCATGCTGAGGGAGGCTCAATCGTTCTCGCGGAATCCTGTTTATTATACCGCACACCTAGATCTAAATCAATTCATCGGACTCACATCCAATTAATGGAAATATTTTTTTTCTTCATGCTTATACACATTAACTAAAAAGCTACGGTTATACCTGTTTTTGTATTAATTGCAAGTAATTAAATTTTGAGTTAGCTCAATTTAGATCTAGGTGTGCGATATGTAAACAGGTCGGTCGATCAGGCTCCCAATGATGTTCAACAGGAAAGTAGAGCGCCTGATTGGTCTGAGCTTTAAATATTTAAATAGCAAAATTGTTAATGAAAAATTACGGCATTAAATAATCTCGAATGTTCACGTAGTCATTAGGCCAATTTTGANGATGTTCAACAGGAAAGTAGAGCGCCTGATTGGTCTGAGCTTTAAATATTGTAATAGCAAAATTGTTAATGAAAAATTACGGCATTAAATAATCTCGAATGTTCACGTAGTCATTAGGCCAATTTTGATTTTTTTTTTTTCTAAGGATATGTATATCACCAGAAAATACTGAAAATTAGCTGCAGATAATATGATCTTTAAAATACATTTAAACCAGTTTTATGTACAGTATGTAATAAATAAATAAACTTTTTAAAGTTTCATAAAAGGGAGAGGTTACCAATTCATCTGAAATTTTTTTTGTTGCCTAATTTTTTTAGTATTTCGAATACCGAATAAATTAACTGAACTTGTATTTTTATTATATAGCTCATTTTCGTGGAACGAATTCGAAGTTGGCAAATTAGATCTCGAATCCTTGTAAGACACATATCGGTGGTAAACTCTTTTAGGCTGCAAAGTGTAAAAAACAACAGCAAGTGAGGTTGCATTGCATATTTTTAGGACAATATTTTCATTCGCAGTTAAACTTTTAAAAGCTCTCAAGAAAGAACGAAAAATTCATATAAAATTACGCGCAAGAAATGAAAAAGAAAATTTTCTTCCATCAAAATTTCTTAAATCAGTTTGCAGCTCTCAAAAAAATATGCTCAAGAAAATATACAGCAAAAGCAAAGTGCTTTATCAAGCAACATAAAATATAAAAAAAAAATATTTAAGGTGATTTTTCTTGACAACTGCATCTAAGCTTTAAGATACAGTTTGTAATTGAGGTTGTTAGCTTTAAGGGGGAGGGGGCTGGCGGAGTTTAACCCCAAAACCCTCGGCTTGTGTGCGCTAATGCACTGTACATTTGTAATTGATCGGAGTGTATAACACCGTGCGTCAAAAACAAAAAATTTCAAATATAGTAAAACTGCGTTTTTAGTTTTTCCCTCTGATGTCAGGTTTTTTTAAAAGGACTTTGAAATTTTAAGAATATTATCAAGTAAAAAAAATATATATATACATAAAAATCAGTAGAATAACATTATGGGTACCAAATTAAAGAGAAAATTCTGTAGAATTTTGAAACATTAAAGTTTTTTACAAGGACGAATTTGCGCTTTTAATTAAATTAATTTTTTTTAAGCCAATGAAGTTAGGAGGACAAAAGTCGCGCATGTAGCCGTGTGTATATTAGTCCTTAACATATAATTTTTTCCAAAACTAAATATTGCAAATTTTCAAGAGTATTGAAGGACAAAATTTAAAAGAACATTTCTCTGCCGATTCGTGCTTTGCTCTTAAAGATTCAATATTTTTTAAATTTACAAAATTTTCTCTTTTATTTGTTGTTCCACATTGCACTGAATTTTTTAAATAATTTTTTAAATCAATCATATTTTTGAAATTTCAAAGTCCTTTAGAAAAGATTTACTATATTTTGCTCACAGNTTAAAAGGACTTTGAAATTTTAAGAATATTATCAAGTAAAAAAAATATATATATACATAAAAATCAGTAGAATAACATTATGGGTACCAAATTAAAGAGAAAATTCTGTAGAATTTTGAAACATTAAAGTTTTTTACAAGGACGAATTTGCGCTTTTAATTAAATTAATTTTTTTTAAGCCAATGAAGTTAGGAGGACAAAAGTCGCGCATGTAGCCGTGTGTATATTAGTCCTTAACATATAATTTTTTCCAAAACTAAATATTGCAAATTTTCAAGAGTATTGAAGG